ATCTCCTCACTTAGAAATCCAGATTGAATTGGATTTGATGAACCAACTTCCTGTAACTTTATGCGGCTACATAAGCTCATGTGCTTTAGCATTATTTAAGCAAATGCTTAAGAGCCATACCCCATGCTTTCTGGAATAAAGAGAACTCTTGCATTCTGTTAGGTTGGCCTTCATATGCTTGCTTATAAAGGGGTCGCAATTGCTTTTCCTAATAATGAAAAGGTCTCTAAGCCATGTGCTGCCACAAGTACTTCTCTGAGTAATGCTGCTTGCATAGCACTGAGCGTAAGAATGTCAATCAAAGTATAAAAGAAGTAATAATTTTCCTCTGTACATGCTAGTCTCAATATGTAAGGAGAGTCTTAAAGACATGGGGATCTCCAGAACCATCCATTCCATAGCTCTCCTGTGGCAATAGGTTGTATGTGAACGGGTACTGGTCATGGTATCTTTTATGACAGTCCTCTCTCTTAATAAGTGAGCAGAGACCCATTAAGTCATTTCAACCAAAACACCATGTATTCATTAGAACATTGTAACTTCTGACTTATTTCTGTCTTAATTATAAGGTGACATCCTTCTCATCAACACTCTCTCTCAAATGATCCACAGGTGAAATCTCTCTCTAAACACAAAGTTTCAAAATTGAGAGCAAATACATTCCTGGAAAAAAGGAAACTATCCCAAAGATGACACTGATATCAAATATCAAAAATAGAGTTTGTGTTTACATATTTGTCCATCTAAAAATAAATGGAAAAATGAGATCATTCCAAGGTCTGAACTTAGGCTAACCAGGGTTGAGATTACACCTGGTATGGTTCATGCATAAAACCAAATGAAAACATTTTTTCATTTCCAATAAAAGGGGGAAAAAGATTGTGATTTCCAGGCCTCCTGAGCATTGGGCCTGTGTCTGCTGCCACTTACAGATGGGCTTTATTAAGAACAAAGCTAACTAAAGTGTCATCTAAAATCCATACTACATGGAAAATAAATAAAACAAATGGAGACAAATGAAACAAAAGGGAAAAAGGAGGAGGGCCCCAATTCCGTTTTGGTGGCGTTCTACACACGCATTTTGCACATAGCAGTATTTTTCCTTATCTAACCAAATATTCACACAAAGTTTCAACTTTCAAGGTTATTGGGAATTAAGTCCATGTCCTGTCAAGAGGTTGCTTAACTAATATGCATAACAAAATCTCAAAAAATGCTCAGCACTCCTCTGTTGAGGCCAGTAGACTGCTGGCTTTTTTTGTTACCTGACACTCTGCCCCTATATGTCTTTTGGGGGGATTGATATTATGTTTACTTCCATCCCATTTTAAAGGGGAAGCAAAGAAAGGGCGCAGCTACTGCCTTACATACCATAAAGAGTGAAGAAATGCAAATCACTTTTTCAGCAGCCTGGATTCAGCATATGAAGCATCTGAAATCTGTTGACTAATTGAAGGTCTGATCAAAATCTATGATTTGCATATGCCTTCTAATTCTTCATCCTATCAATAATTGAAAATCAAAGAGTTTTTAATTGAAAGGGTTACATATGTTACCCACTGGAGAAAATGTAAGAAGTCCACAGCAGATAATTCTTTCAAATAAATCTAAGTGCCTTTGTGTAGCAAAGTAATGAATATTTCTCCTGCTGATATCATTAATGGAAATCTGCGCTCAACAGATTGCTGGTTGAACGACATTTAATTAAAGCAGAGTTAGCAAATTAAATGGCAGCTTCTCTGTAGCAAGCTTATTCATGAAAGTTACATGGGTATATGGACATAAAAATAATTATCTATTTATGAATAAGCTGTTAACTAGCCCAGCCACACCTATTGTTAGTACAGTCAGAAGTAACGCAGAATGGTAAGTATTGGTACCGAGTTCTGTTAAAATCAGAAATCTCCAGTGGACCATGAGCATTGAAGCGATTTACTTGTCTCTTGGCTCTCAGGTCTAATGTAAATTTTTGAGAGTAATAACGCTAGAACAATAACTAAAACAGAGATCAATACGTAACATAAAACTTTCTTTCTATACACTTCCAAATAAGTCTCAGAATTTGCTAAAATGTCACAAAGCCAATGGGCTACTTGCTCACAGAGAAAGTTAGGCATCTTCAGCATCAAGAGCGACGAAGGATGACCTTGTGCACTGAATTAAATGTTGACCATACAGGCATAAAATTCCTTTTGCTGCCACTGTTCCATTTAGAGAATGTCTTTATGCTACAAAAACTGTTATCTAAACTATTTCCAGGAAATAGGACGGTCAGAAATTTTGGCCGTTGCTAAATGAAACCAACAGACCAGAGAGGTTCACGGAAAGCAATGATACAGCCTGCGTGAAAGCAAACTCACAGGCTACCCACTCTCACGGTATACTTCCTGATATTCTCATTTCCCCTTTTTTCTACCCAAAACATATTTCAGCCTTCCGTTATTATTAAATTCTTAAGTTAGTCTATCTCCCACTGCACATGTTTCTATCAAATCCTAAGAGAAATAATTAACAGGTTAACACATTTCTAAATATTTATAAAACTACAAGATCTGATTAATATTTAATTTTGCCAAGAGGTTTTGTCTGCTGACATCTGCAATCAAACAGTTTCAGAAGATAGTGTAATTCCAGGGCACAGAGGCATAAATATTATGTTATTTGCCTGTTCTGCACCAATTACTTCTTGACTCTGCATAACCACTGAAGGAATTAATTACTTTCAAACACCAGAGAAGTTCATTAATCGATACAAAAGCTAGTGAAGGAAAAAATAATAATTAAAGGAAGTTTGCTGTGAAAATTTATGCATCTGATTTAAGGTGGGCCATCAAGACCCCAGTGACTTCAGGAAGAAGGCTCTAAAACCAGAGCTTTGTACCATTGCAGGTTGTTGGAGAGCTATGATACAGAGATTTCCAGCATCCCAGAATTAAAATCCAGATGGAAACAAAATGTCCACTATTACAAAACGCACTAGGTTGCATTTGCCAGGGTGCTGAGTCAGGCACTAGAATTTTCTCGAGATATCAGGGTCTGCGTTTTTCCCATTCACCGGCAGGCTTTTTTCCTTTTCAGTTCAGGATTGAATTACCCTTAATTAATCTAGGAAGGCAGCAAATAATGAATCACAAATTATTTAGCTACTGAAAAGTAAATTCCTAGAATCTGGATGTTATGTCTGTACAATGTTTTCCTCTTGCCACACGAAGGGGAGCGTGCTTGAGTGTGTGTATACGTACATGGGTATGGGCATTTTGAGAAGAAAAGCGTTCAGGACCTCTTTCTGCTCGTCCTCCCTGTGACGAGATCTCGGCTGTGCTGGACCCAGTCTTTTAAACAGCATGAGAAAACTCAGGGACAGGCTTGCTGCTTCACTTGCAGCTGCAACTTGGATTAAAGCAAGGGAAAGTTTCTATCCTGTCTCCCTCTGCCTGCTTTTACTGCATTGCGTCAAAGTGCGCTCCTGGATTTTCAAAGGTAAAACAAGTGTTGCCAGCAGGATCTCTGCAACCCTGAGAGCATCTGGGCGGGCGAACACACACATCCACCCTCCCTCTCAGCCTTTTACCTTAGCAGCGAGACGGGGCTGGGGGTAGCAACCAGGCTGGGCAGCCCCCGCAGCTCCTAACTCTGCAGCTCAACACCACTGAGTCACTGTGACTCACACGTTGCCTGCACAGTCTAGTGAAATCTCTCCTTTAGCTGCAATATAGTTAAAAAAAAAAAAAAAAAAGGAACAGGGAGAAATCTATGTTTGCTGGTGAGTCTCCAGACACCTACCTCCTCCCTGTGCTGGTTTGAGGGTGTCCCCAGCCATCTGACTGCAAGGGTCTGGGAAGCTGTGGTGAAGTAAGACCTGGTTAAGCTATATTCTTTCCCCAGAACAGAAATAGATGCAAAGGACTGAATGAAGAAGGGGCTTATGCATAGGAAAGGACATGAAAGAAGCAGCAAAACCAGGTACTGTAAAGTGAAGAAGCTATGAGGAGCTCATAGTGCTTGCAGAAAGGCAGAATATGGGCAGTGGATTGGAAAACGCCAATCTATTTCACAGTGGTTTGGCTTTAATTTACATGATGAGTCCCAATCTAGTGCATAGCTAGTGCTTTTTGATCTGTAGGGTCAGATCCTCTCTTCCCACTGAACTGCCATGCTAAGCATTTTTGATAGGGCATTCAAGTGAAAATGCAAGTCTCATCTCTTACACTCAAAACTCTGCTGTAGTTAAAGTTTTGTGCTTGAACTAGGGATATCACATACCAAAAGGAGCAGGTCTCCTGTATTCCAATCGATAATTCTTAAAAGTGCTGAGCAAATAGCTTGGCTTGTGAGTCTCTTGTCCGTTGTACTGCAGTTACCACCCACTGCTGTCCACTGCTTTGAGGGGGAAGACAAAACATGCTTTGTAAGAACACATCTGCATAAACACACACACAGAAAAATTTCTATTAAGAGTAGAACCATGGAAGTTTGAAAAGAAACCGTCATCAGAAGACCCGCTGTTGGAAAAAAAAAAAGGAAAACTAATTTTGAGTTGCTTGCCTTCTGCTTCTCAAAAGCATCAAAAATACAAGAAAAGGAGGGGGGAAAAAAGCATTAGGAAATGCTACAGGAACTCCCTGGAAAGGAGTTATTGGAATTATTATGTATGAATACAAGTTGTTTCCTGAATGTTTTTGCCACAGTTCCTTTTTCTTTCTCCTACTGTTTCTCTCGGGAGCTTGGAAGGAAAGACATTTGTTAAGTGCTTACTCACCCACTTTTTTTTTTTCTCGTTGCTCAGAAGGGAGAGGTCTACAGAACCCCCTCCCTCCAAAACATATATAAAAGACATTTTCTTTCTGTCTTCATGGGCCATCAAGGAGAGGTAACGCAAATCATCCAGTCCCATGAAATCAGTGCACAGAATTAAAGAGTATCCCAAATTCTCATGCAAAATCCCACTAGCCACATTTGACTGAGAACCTACCTGTTTTAGCCTGAGTTTTCATACGTTCAGCTTATTTAAAGTGGTCTAATTTGCAGCATTTGTCTAGCACTTGCCCTCAGTGTAAGGTTTAATTCTATGCACTAACTTTAGCCTATAGAAAAATAAATAGGCTCAGGTACAGAACACAACATTGACACTGTCTTCAGAATTATTGTCAGGCTTTGCTGCTCTTCTGGCCCTTTGAACTGTTCCAATTTCATGTCTGATCACAGATGAGATTAGACCTTTCCTTTGTTGATTGATACTCAAAAAGCTTAAAATGCCCTGACAAATTCTCAATGGAGTGAGCCTCTTCAGCCCATAGTGGCATGAGGTTTTAAGACACACTGTGTGAAGACAGTTCACGTTCACATAGCAGGGAGAACTCTCCTCACCACTCTGGCTTTCCCTCTAATACCTCACCACAGGACACAACCTTAATTATTCTTTTCATAAAGGGGTTGCTCCAAGCCTCACTCAAGTCAGCAGTCATTCTTCCTTGTTGTCACTGACTACATTTTCATTGAAAAGTGTGAACAACTTCACACTGATGCCTAACACCCATGTTTACATTAGTTTCTCCTCACTTTCTTCTCTTTACCAATACCAACTTTAACTGGTAAATGGAAGTAAAGTTCTTCCTATTTTCATTAGGCAAAAAAGATCTGGTGTTTGTGTATACAACAGCCCAGTCAGATCTCACACAAAGCCAACAGCAGAGTCAGACCACAGCGTCTTTTTACTGTTGTCAAATTCCCACGTGGACATTACCTACTCACACCTACAGTAAGAAGTTACCATACCACTTTGTCTGCATACTAGACCCCCAGCATGAGTTAGAAAGAGACAGAAACCAGTGTCTCATATCTTGTTGCACAGAGTCCAAAGATGAGTATTCTGCTGTAATTATGCACACAGTGATATACCACTTTACCCATTGTTAAATGCATCAGTGACACACGACACACAAGGACTGTGTAAGCATTTCTTTATTGACTAGCTTTATTGCACATACTTATTGAAGCCTCCATTATTTTACCCACCCAAGGTTTCTGTAATTATTTTAAATGCAAGTTAAAGATAACTTTCATTCCCATGACCTTTTTTTTCCCCCCCCCTTTTTAATTGTAAGGTTCTGAATCACCCAAGCAGGACATAACTCCTGAATTCATACGTGTAGACCATGCAGCATTCAGGAAGCAAGCCAGTGGGCACTCTGCAAGCATACTGATACTCTGCATGGAGAGAAACATCATAGATCATTAACTAAACCTCAGTGGTCACTGAATTAAATATGTGAGACTGCAATTTTAGCTCAGTCAATTATTGGTTACTCTATTGATCTGATGAGGAAGCTGGACTGTCTAAATCAAGCTTTCTTCTTCACTTCACTCTCTTCCTTTCCTGCTGGTTGTTTCTCTTCCTTCTCTTCCTTCTCCTCCTCAGCAGTTTCCTCAGCAGTTTCTTGGGACTCCTCTCCTTCTTCAGCTGCTGTTTCTTCCCCTTCTCCTCCTTCCTCTTCTTCACCCTCTTTGGCTTCTTCTGATTCTTCCTTGGCACCTTCAAAAGACAAAGTTTTTCACATCCTCAACACAGTGCTTAGAGCTATCTCCTAAACCCATTTTCACAGGGGTCAGCGTACCTGCACCCTTCACCCACACACTTGGGATGGCAGTAGGCCAAAGCTTGACAGGGCTAACAGATTTTTGCATGAAAGCAGGTGCCTTTGTTTTATCTAGGACTTTCAAGGGAGACTAACAAAACTACACAGCCAACCTACCTGAGATTTCAGAGGGAGCAAAAGACCTTATATTTATAGGTCTCTGGAAAATCCTGACCTTGAAAAATAGTAGTCAATTGTGGACTCCAAAGAGTTCAAAAGGAATCTTGCCATTCCCTTCTGTGAACTTCAGACTGGATCTTTAACCATCACTTGGTTATAAGTAACCTTCACACTAATAAGCTCATAAGACAGCCCAGCGGTAACCAACGCATTTCAGACATGTTCAGGTTAAATCTTTCTGCAGAGTTATACAACCGAATCTAGAAAAAGCAACCCTGGACAACGTTTCTGTTAAAAATGTGAGTTTGGTAAATAATTCATGGAGCAGCAAGGAAAGGGCGTGTGGCTCAGCTGAAGAAAGCAAGGAAATAATTACCCAGAGTAAGGTTCTGAATCACCCAAGCAGGACATAACTCCTGAATTCATACGTGTAGACCATGCAGCATTCAGGAAGCAAGCCAGTGGGCACTCTGCAAGCATACTGATACTCTGCATGGAGAGAAACATCATAGATCATTAACTAAACCTCAGTGGTCACTGAATTAAATATGTGAGACTGCAATTTTAGCTCAGTCAATTATTGGTTACTCTATTGATCTGATGAGGAAGCTGGACTGTCTAAATCAAGCTTTCTTCTTCACTTCACTCTCTTCCTTTCCTGCTGGTTGTTTCTCTTCCTTCTCTTCCTTCTCCTCCTCAGCAGTTTCCTCAGCAGTTTCTTGGGACTCCTCTCCTTCTTCAGCTGCTGTTTCTTCCCCTTCTCCTCCTTCCTCTTCTTCACCCTCTTTGGCTTCTTCTGATTCTTCCTTGGCACCTTCAAAAGACAAAGTTTTTCACATCCTCAACACAGTGCTTAGAGCTATCTCCTAAACCCATTTTCACAGGGGTCAGCGTACCTGCACCCTTCACCCACACACTTGGGATGGCAGTAGGCCAAAGCTTGACAGGGCTAACAGATTTTTGCATGAAAGCAGGTGCCTTTGTTTTATCTAGGACTTTCAAGGGAGACTAACAAAACTACACAGCCAACCTACCTGAGATTTCAGAGGGAGCAAAAGACCTTATATTTATAGGTCTCTGGAAAATCCTGACCTTGAAAAATAGTAGTCAATTGTGGACTCCAAAGAGTTCAAAAGGAATCTTGCCATTCCCTTCTGTGAACTTCAGACTGGATCTTTAACCATCACTTGGTTATAAGTAACCTTCACACTAATAAGCTCATAAGACAGCCCAGCGGTAACCAACGCATTTCAGACATGTTCAGGTTAAATCTTTCTGCAGAGTTATACAACCGAATCTAGAAAAAGCAACCCTGGACAACGTTTCTGTTAAAAATGTGAGTTTGGTAAATAATTCATGGAGCAGCAAGGAAAGGGCGTGTGGCTCAGCTGAAGAAAGCAAGGAAATAATTACCCAGACCTCAGGCAGTATAACTTACTGCACGCTAAACCCAATAGAGTTGTGCCCACAAGCATCAGCTGATGTTCCAATTATCCCAGGCTGCTCTCTGGGAATTAGTATTTAGTTCAAGGTGTTCCTGTTTCTTCCTTTCAAGGATACTTGTAATAGCTAAGTACTGTCTAATACCTTAGAAATTTAGTATTATGTGCTTTTAAAATACTCCTTTCTCTTGGGAAACTGGAAAACTCCCAGTGATTTCCAAGCGTGTATAATCAGCCCTACAATCTGCCCGATACTGAATATTTACCAGATCTTCTGCTCTATATTCAGACTTTCCCGCTCATATGCTATGGGCTTAATCCCACAATCCTTTGCTCACATGAGCTGATATCAAGAGAGGTCTAACCATTAGACCTAGTCATCAGAATTCGTGGGGTTTACCCCATATAAGCAGGGCGAAGCGTGGAAGAGAGGGATTTGAAAGCAACTTTAAGTACCTTCCTCCTCTTCTTCAGCCTCTTCACCTCCTGCTTCTTCCTCACCTTCCCCTTTCTCCTCCTCCTCACCTTCTTCTGTAGGGGCAGCTGCCTTGGCTTCTCCCACTTTAGCAGCCTCAATTGTTTCCTCTATTTCAATCTGTTCTTCCTGGACATGACTGGAGTAGTATGTGGGGAAGGTACGGGTTGTCATCAAATAGGAGCTGGTCTGGAGACCACTGTAGGCAGACCTGCCAAAAGTGGGGGCAGTCTGGGTGTAGCCACTGGTGATGCTTCCAACACTAGTGAAGCTGAGTCGGGTTTCTTCACCTTCCAGTAACTTCCTAGAGGAAGAAACAGACAGGAATGATTTAAGCTATGCTGTGGCAGTGTTCAGCAGACTCAGCTACAGGCCCAGATACTGTTGTACTTTGAGCGGCACAAGTAGGGTGGGTGCGTACCCACCCCCAAGGCTGTGTATTTACTTATTCATTATGGGCTAGTGCTTGCGCTCCTATACAGGAAATGCCATCACAACATTTTGGAAGAATTTAAAATAAGCTCCAGAGATGTGTGCTACTGGGGAATTTGTACTTATCTCTGTAAGGAGAAATAAAGGAAAAAAAATCTCTAGGATTAAATTCTTACAGCAGAAGTTAGAGATGTATTTTGCGAACCTGTTGTCTGTATACAGAGAACTATACAGATGTAACAATTTGATATTACACTTAACTATGAGACAAGGCTTAGAGCCGCTTTTCTCAACATTCCCATTGCAGCATTCACTAGAAATGTTAAGTGCCAAACAAGAGCTTCTAATAGCATCTGGGATACAACATTAAAAAGCAACTTAGCAGCAATTCTGCTGTAAAATAATTGCTTTGGGGGAGCTTGCTTCTGGGAGTTGGAAGCAAATCCCACTGAAAAGCCTCTCACATGATTTTTAACTATTTTGAGAACATAGCCATCTGTATTTAGACATTCTCCTGACACAAAGCCACTTTTCAATAGCTCAGAAATCTGGAGCACAGGGCAGGAATATTTTATCTGTAGAGATAGATAACTGACAGATTCCAGTGCTGAACTAATATTTTCATATACATGCATATTATATTGACTGAAGTTTGCTGCACAGTGCAGAATTCACTTAAAGCAAATATTCCACCTTAAAAAGCTTTGCTGCTTCTGATGGCAAGAAAACAGAGAAGACATGATAAAACTGGCACCTGCCTATCTAGGAAGCTTTCTGCTGGAGGAACGAAAAATAAAACACATTCTCATCAAGTCAGAAAGAAAAGGGGAATCTGATCCGAGTTCTAATTTGCTTAACCATCTTTCTCCCCCCCCCGCCCCCAATCATACCTATATGCTGCAATTTCAATGTCCAGGGCCATTTTCACATTAAGTAGATCTTGGTATTCCTTTAAGTACCGAGCCATTTCACTCTTCGTGGTTCTTAACTCGTTCTCCAATTTGTTGATTGTATCCTGTTGGAAGCAACAACATTGAGCGCATAAAATTCTCCCATGTCTAGCAACAACGCCTTGCAAGGAAATTCGCCCATCCCATTAACTTAACCTTGCTCTAGCAGACAGCAGGATCAAACCGCTCCAGCCCCAGCCTCAGACATAAGGGCACAGCATTTACCAGAGGCCACCTTCCCTGGCAGGGTTCCCCCTGCCACCATCTATAGCCTTTTATCCTGTTTCTATTTAACAACATTAAGAGCCTAAACGATCCCAGTTTTCTGGCTGTCAAGGACTAAGGTATTCTTGCGATTCGTTCATTGCTTCATTTTGCTTTTAGCCTTTGTGTTTTCCCTAGCGTTAGCTTGAGGATACCCTTTTAACTTGTGTGCATATGTATATTTTGATGCACTTAAGCGTGCACATCTATTTTATATAGAGACTCTATATGAACCGTGTATTTTACATTGCGATTTTTATGATACCTCGCATTTTTATGAGACGGGCATGAAGGGTGAAGCAGTGCTGGCTTTTAACTTGTGTGCATATGTATATTTTGATGCACTTAAGCGTGCACATCTATTTTATATAGAGACTCTATATGAACCGTGTATTTTACATTGCGATTTTTATGATACCTCGCATTTTTATGAGACGGGCATGAAGGGTGAAGCAGTGCTAGCTTTCCGGGCGATGCTGCCAGGCACCCCCACCCCGGCGGCGGTCGAGGCTCCTGCAGCTGCTTCTCCAGCGCCTCGTTCATGCCGCGGGTGGCCTCGATCTCCAGCGTCTTGGCCTTGAGGAGGCGGCGGCTCTCGGACACCTCGTCCTTGGCGGCGCGCACGGCGTCGGTGTTCTTGGCGGCGCTCTCGCTGAGCACCGTGAAGCGGCTGCGGAACCACTCCTCGGCGTTTTGCATGTTGCGCGCCGCCAGCTTCTCGTACTGCGCGCGGATGTCGCGCAGCGCCGCGGAGAGGGCGGGC